GGACCCTAAAAGAACACAAGCGGCTCAATGAGCCGCTGCTACTGTTTCAAGTCCCATTTCCAAAATGGTGTGTATATATATATATATAAACAAAAAAAACCAAAACATAAACAGAACACAAAAAAACATAAACAAATTTATGCTACATTTGTGTTTTGTTTATGTTTTGTTTGTGTTTCGCTTGTGTTTTTTATGTATGTCAAAATCCTAAGATCGTATTTTCCCAGAATAAGATCTTAGACTTTTGCCTGACGCAAGTGCTGCGCAAACAAAACGTATGTCAGACATATGTGAAACATGTGGGAGACATCAGTTTCACATTGGCTGCAGGTTTGTACCAGGTTTGGATTTCAAATTGGCAACTGCTTGACACAGGGGGGACGGCCAACTCATGTTTCACATATGTTGCAAATTTTACACACATGTTTTGCTTTATGTTTCACTTATGTTTCAATTATATTCCATTTATGTTTCGTTTGCGTTCCACATATGTTTTGTCTTATGTTTGACATATGTTTCATATACGTTTCACATATGTTTCGTTTATGTTTCACATATGTTTTTACTTACGCCTAGACATAGTTTATGTTTACGTCATGCCCCGTCCACCCTCTATAGAAACCATCCCTGGAGCCCCTTTGGATCAAGCTAATATATATACACCATTAAAGCTGCTCAATGAGCCGCTAGATAGCAAAACCAACATGAATCCATACCCGACAGCAAGAAAAGATGTCTGGCTCTTGCGGCCCAATGAGCCCCAGTGTTTCAAAACAATTCTTTGCCAAGAATTCACTTTCCAACTCATTTTTCACATATGTTCCAAACACATCCTGTGGCCAAAATACGGATTAAAAACCAAGAAAACTGAATGACTAAGTTTCGAACATGCAGAAACGTTAATTTGCTAAGTTAGTTAAAGTTCGAAAACTTTTTTGGAACATTATATAACTAAAATAAAATAATAAGTATACATAAGTTACAAAACATACAAGTGATCAACTCGTATAAGTATAAGTAGGTTGTAAGTACCTTGAAAAACTTCAACACTTAGCGGACTTAGCGAAATTACAATAGCATACAACCTGGTTGTAACCGTATTTGCAAGCAATTACAAGTATATACTCTAAGCCAAAACCATCCACCTAGTCTATCCTAGTCTAGTCTATCAATCCCAAGCACCTCTGGTTTTGACATGTTTTGACATGTGCCAGTTGCCTACGCCAAATTAATTAGATCCTCATAATTCAATCCAGGGAATAACATTCCCCGCCACTTTCACAAACTAGCAGAGCCGAAACAAGCATGAAAAAGGTTGCGGCCGTGTGAACGACCCTGGGTAATTTGCTCAGTTCGAAATGAGTCTCGAGGATTCAGTTTATACTGCGTTTAGCAATCTTTGAATGTTCGTGATGGAACGTGTGTTTAGAACGTCCCATTTTTCCCAAGAGCGTCTGAGCGCAGGGTTCTTCCAATAGTGGGGGTCTGTAAAACATCTTCTCATCTTCACATCTCATCTTCACATTCTCTCATCTTCACATCTTCTCATCATCTTCACATCTTTTCATCTTCACATCCTCTCATCTTCACATCCTCTCATCTTCACATCCTCTCATCTTCACATCTTTTCATCTTCACATCCTCTCATCTTCACATCTTTTCATCTTTACATCCTCTCATCTTCACATCCTCTCATCTTCACATCTGCTCATCTTCACATCCGCTCATCTTCACATCCTCTCATCTTCACATCCTCTCATCTTCACATCTGATCATCTTCACACCTTCCCATCTTCACATCTGCTCATCTTCACACCTTCCCATCTTCACATCTTCTCATCTTCACATCTGCTCATCTTCACATCTGCTCATCTTCACATCTGCTCATCTTCACATCTGCTCATCTTCACACCTTCCCATCTTCACATCTTCTCATCTTCACATCTGCTCATCTTCACACCTTCCCATCTTCACATCTGCTCATCTTCATCTTGCTCATCTTCATCTTGCTCATCTTTATCTTCACACCTGCTCACCTTCTCTCTCACGCCTTCTTTTTATCTTTCTCTCTTAAGGCCGAGGGTGGTGCCGGCGGCGAGTCACGAAACGTAAAACCTTTCGCACGAAATGAGGGTCGATCGGCAAAAACTGAGGTAAAATTGCGATTTTTCGTGTGCCGGAGCAACCCTTTCGCACGAAATGAGGGTCGATCGGCAAAAACTGAGGAAAAATTGCGAGTTTACTTGTCCCCGAGCAACCCTTTCGCACGAAATGAAGGTCGATCGTCAAAAACTGAGGAAAAATTGCGATTTTACTTGTCCTGGAGCAACCCTTTCGCACGAAATGAGGGTCGATCGTCAAAAACTGAGGAAAAATTGCGATTTTACTTGCCCCGGAGCAACCCTTTCGCACGAAATGAAGGTCGATCGGCAAAAACTGAGGTAAAATTGCGATTTGACTTGTCATGGAGCAACCCTTTCGCACGAAATGAGGGTCGATCGGCAAAAACTGAGGTAAAATTGCGATTTGACTTGCGGAGCAACCTTTTCGCACGAAATGAGGGTCGATCGGCAAAAACTGAGGTAAAATTGGAGCAACCCTTTCGCACGAAACTTGGGTCGATCGGCAACCCTTTCGCAGGAAATTGCGATTTTACTTGTGCCGGAGCAACCCTTTCGCACGAAATGAGGGTTGATCGGCAAAAACTGAGGTAAAATTGCGATTTGACTTGTCCTGGAGCAACCCTTTCGCACGAAATGAGGGTCGATCGGCAAAAACTGAGGTAAAATTGCGATTTTTCGTGTGCTGGAGTAACCCTTTCGCACGAAAAGGGGTTTGTGTGTACGAGCGTTTCTGTGTAAAGATGTTTGTGTGTAAAAGTGTTTGTGTGTACAAGTGCATCTGTGTAAAAGTGTTGTGTGTAAAACCTTCTGTGTGTTCAAGCCTTTGTGTGTAAACGGGTTTGTGTGTACGAGTGTTTCTGTGTAAAGAAGTTTGTGTGTAAAAGTGATTGTATGTAAAATTGCATCTGTTTAAACGTGATTGTGTGTAAAAGCTTCTGTGTGTACAAGCGTTTGTGTGTAAAAGCAGCTCCTGTGTGTAAAAGGGTCTGTGTGTAAAAGTGTCTGTGTGTAAAGGCTTCTGTGTGTAAAAGTGTCTGTGTAGAAGCGTCTGTGTGTAAAAGCTTCTGTATGTAAAAGCTTCTGTGTGTAAAAGCTTCTGTATGTAAAAGCTTCTGTGGGTAAAAGCTTCTGTGGGTAAAAGCTTCTGTGTGTAAAAGCTTTGTGTGTAAAAGCGTCTGTGTGTAAAAGTGTTTGTGATGCAAACTATTGTCTTGCACTTCTCACTATTTTGTCTTGATACTCCTCTTCTCGACTGCCTATAACACAGCTTTCATACATCGTTTCTAATATTGCGTCTCCATACTAACAAGAGAAGACCCTGCTCCTCTACGCTCTCGGGCCATCCGTCGTCTAGTTACCATAACTTTGAACCTCATTTTTGCAAAACCCATTGGCTCTACGACTCGAAAACACCGCACTCTTAAAAATAAGCATCTTTTTCAACTCGTTTCATGCCTGGTCTACGCATTGCGTTCCCGTCAGTTTGGGAAGCTTTCTCAGTTACATGGAACGTTAACATGCCCCACCCCACCCCAACCCCCGTGTTGCGTAGCATCCACAACGCATGCAAGTTACATGGAACGTTAACATGCCCCATCTCACCCCAACCCCCGTGTTGCGAGGTGTTGCGTAGCATCCACAACGCATGCAAGTTGCATGGAACGTTAACATGCCCCACTGCACCCCAACCACCGTGTTGCGTAGCATCCACAACGCATGCAAGTTACAGAACGTTAACATGCCCCACCCCACCCCAACCCCCGTGTTGCGTAGCATCCACAACGCATGCAAGTTACAAGGAACCTTCACATGCCCCACCCCAACCCAACCCCCGTGTTGCGTAGCATCCACAACGCATACAAGTTACATGGAACGTTAACATGATGGCTCAACAACATGAGACTCCTAGTATGTTGAGCACGAACAAAGAAATGACCACGCACAAAGCAGAGTTCCTGAAATTTACAACTTGAAGTATGAAATTGATTGAAATTGATCTAAACACCACCTGAATGCAACGACCAAGTCTTAAGTAACTCAGATGTGAAGTTTTCAACCGACATGCCAAACACCACCTCAACGCGGGATTTGTATATATACCTGGATATTCATTGGTTACAAATTTCTTTCCAGGGCAGATTTTGGTTTGATTTCTGACCATTTTTTGGAAATTTACCCATTTCAATATAAAAATGACCATTTCAAGAAAAAACATGCCACTTCATGTTTTCATTTTCGAGTCATGATGAATCTGCCCGGGTATTTCCGCCCTTTTCCCGGGTATTTCCGCCTTTTTCATCCTTTTTCCCGGGAATTTCCGCCCAAAAAAATCGACACATTTTTACGCAAAGTAGAGTAAGATCAGCCCAAAAGGCACGAAATCCAAAATTAACCACAATAATCAAAAAGTGACCATTTCCAGCTCCTTCACAAGAAATCCGCCCTAAGGGCAGAAATCTTGGAAACGGACACTTATTTGTATCCTTTCGAAGATCCAGGTATATATATATAATAAAATCATAAATCCAAACATGAAAACAAGAAAATCATGCATTTCCTATGCGATTCACAAAAAGGCACGACTCTTGAAAATCAAGTGCTCCCAAGCTATTTTCAACGATTCCCACTAATCTGGGCACGGCTTTAGCAACTCTCTGTATCCGGGCACCTGAAGCCTCTCCTTGATGACATCGACTGGCACAAAAATAATGCAAGCAGCAGCCTCGTGAATTGAATTCACAAGAGCGACTAGCAAAAAGATGCAAAATGGCCCTGACAACTGCCGAATCATGATTCACATGACGTCTCGGCAATTGTGCTACGTATGCAATACATTTGCTAAACATCCTTGGCCTACCCGTCGCCCAAACGTCTAGTGTGGTCTGTCTCTGTGAACTGTTTTTCTCAGGCTCAAATGCCCTACGAGCTATTTATCATCTAGCATACATCACCAGCAAACTTTGCAGATTCGCCAAAAGCCAGAGGGCTGGTGTCACTACACATTGATTGCTTTAGCGGCTCAGTCGCCCATGCAACTCAATTCTGCCCCAACTCAGAGCTCGTCAATTGTAAAGCCTGCCAAAAGCAAACACATTGCGTGATGACTGCATGGAATTGAGTGAAATTATGTAAAATGGCCACGTAATCCGAGTTGCCTTAAGCCTGAGAAAGCGGTGCAATTCCCATGCAAATAATTGTGCATCCTGGATTCATCTCCATTTTGTCTTCAGCTTTGCAAATCTTCAGAGCCTGAAAGCCCTTGAGAATCTGAAGTAGAAACTCAACATTGACCATTCTGGATCATTCTCGTTGTTCTGTTCTTGGACATTGTTGAAGCATCTTCGGTAGAAGAGTTTTCATCAAATATTTGGATTGCTTGGGACTGGGTGGGGCTGGAAACTCCTAGCTGCAATGCCGTAAACAAAACGCGCGCAACTGCATTGAAGAGTATGAGTATTCGAACGCATCCAAACTGACACATTTTTTCAGCGGTCCTGATGATGGCAATGGCATCACGGGTGCCACCCCTGATCTCTGCGTGTTGAGGTCCAGCCAAACCTCACCTGGAGCAGTTTGTTTCATAGATCTGCCTTGCTTTTTGCCGAATCATTGTGTAGTGCCGTCTAGCCACGAATAGCATCCCGGACAACGTCTTCAAAATGTGAATGGACAATGGAGCATTGGCGGTCAGCAGTGCACGCCTCAATCAAGTGGAAATTGCACAAACGTCCGTGTGGAGCGCCGAAATGTGCTACTCAACATCTCTCAACTAAACAATGATTCGTTGCTGCGACCGCTTTGCTCAGCCACTTTTGAGGTTCAATGTAAAATGTCAAGCTGATGTCGCTCATATACATATATGCACGTATACAGTATATATATATATAAGGATAACAATGGTTATATAATATTGCTATTAGTATGGTTATTATTATTATTGTTATGTCTTATATATTCTTATATGCATATATATATATAGAGAGAGAGAGAGTTTGTGCCTCGACCCCCTCACGCACACACACTTGTACATCACATGTATCATGTTCCCTTTCTACCGGCTTGTTACCCAATGTGCGGCCGATGGTCTTGATTCATCAAGCTATCCACTGCGTCCTGGTCGCAGTGTAAAATTGTTCGGACGGGGGCAAGTTTAAAGAACATCTTTAGCTCCTGAGAAAATTGTTAGTTATATGCAATATGTTACATGGTGTTATATGCACAGAAAAGTAATGAGGCATGACATACCATGGCAATGTGACCATGCAGCAGTGACATGCAAAGTCTCATCGCAAGCGGCGGATCAAAGTGGCTGGTTGGGCAACCCTGTAGGGAGTGCGGACTGCTAGAACACCCTCTCCTCCACCAGTTCATCTTCGACCACTTTGGCACGAGCAGGGGTTGAGGGCCTTAAACTATCTTGACCGCTCGTCTCTATATTCAAGATTCTGCAGGTATCCCAATAAATAAATATTTAAACATTTGCCACGTCTTGAAGGCCGGACCCATATTCCTGGAAACAGGGGTAAACGATGATAAACAAAAACGATGGTGAAATTGTGAAAACATAGGAAAAACAAAACCATGCAAAACCATTATATAATTATAATTGAAATGGTTTCATCGATGGTTTTGAGCAGCATGAATGATTTCTTGAATGTTCACAGGGCCAATGCAGAACATAGAGAAGTGTTGAACAACACACCTTTTTGAAAACAAAACGGTGGAAAAAAAAACAAAAGCACCCATCACATCATATCGATATATGACATCATATCGCATCATATTGCACACAGCATCTGAAAATGTTCGAACACATTTCCTGACAGATCCGTTAAATTTCGTTAACACATTGAGCATGTCTGCTCTATTTTGAACCCAGCTGCAGCGCAGCTCGCAGGTTGCTGGCTTCCACCCGCTCAAAGTCCAGGACATCGTGACCGTTGATCTTTCGAAGCTGCGGCAGCCATCGAAGGATGTTGACCTCACACTTTGCACAGCTCACGGCTCGGAAACCAACCAAAGCTAACAACAGTCCACATCAAGAGAATATGCACAAGCACACTCAAAATGTGTATATACAAATATTATGTCTATATATATATACACATGATTATACATGTGTATAATATGTATGTATGATATGTATGTATGATATGTATGTATGATATGTATGTATGATATGTATGTATGATATGTATGTATGATATGCAAGATATGTATGATATGATATGTAAGATATGTAAGATATGTATGATATGTATGATATGTATGT